AAAAAAAAAAAAAAAAAAAAAAAAAAAAAAAAAAAAAAAAAATTCCGACGAACTGATAACCTCCTCCTTTTTTGGAAGTCGGTTAAAAATAAGCTTCATTTGTCAAACAAAAACTTCTTAGCTTATAGATAAAATATGGTAATATATTATTAACCTTAAATGGAGTGTAAAAATGTAAAATATTTTTATTTATATAATATATTTATAAATTTTATTCTTATCTCGGAGATTTCCAAAAAAAGCAAAAAAAAAAAATACAAAATAATTATCCATTCCTGTGGAATGCAAAAAACGATTTTTCGGTTTTCGGTTTAAAAAAAATAAAAATAAAACGATTAACTCTAAATTAAAAAAAAAAAACAAAAAATCATTAACCAAATTTAATAAACCGATTTTTAGAAACAGCGATCTTATTTGTACATCCCTACTGTAGGGTACATGCCATTTCTCAGCTAGAAATGTATCAAACAAATTTCTGCAGAGATTATATACGTACATATGTATACATATGTACGTATATGTTTTATTCATTCATATTTAATCAATTTGCACACACATTGTAAGGATGTAGGTTATGATTTGAAACAGATTACGATTTTATTTAACTGAAACGGTTAAAGCAATATTCAATCAAAGCTGTCCATAAATTTAACTACTATTACTCGCACATATGTACATATGTATGTATGTACATATTCTAATTCGAAATATGTTTATGGTCGTGATAAGCTGCCGCTTGTTCCTCTGCACTATTGACGTACTTCCTTACCTGTTTGCTTATCGAAAAATCTTTACATGTACATATATATTTATGGATACCTACTTGAGTTTAATTGTCATTGCATGGTGCGGTAGTTTACAGTATGGTGCAAAAATGAGTCAGTGCGTATAGAGACTGAGAAAAGACAAATTAAAAAGAATTTGTTCGGTTAATCGAAATATGGTTTATTCCCTCTTATATTTCAATTCGTTGGTGTTAAATAGCGAATAAAATTTAACCGATTATAAGTCTAAACAAAGAAAAATGGGCATTTAACTATGAAATATCATTAGCTCATTTTTGCACCAAGCCGAAAAATTATGGGCTTGTTCGAGTTGTAATCACAACCGCATTAAAGTATCGCCTTCTGTGTGAATTTCTAGCAAAGTATTATCAGTTGGGCAGATGCAACAATGTTGCAATTTTTCATCAGTACGGCAGTAATGCCGCTTTTATTACGTGCCTCGTACAATATTGATATTGTAATCTGCAATAACATAAGACATTATTTCTTGTGCCGAGAAAAGCCACCTTGGGCCACCGTAACGGCCGATTATGTTCTCTGCACGTATTTTTGGACGGTGGCGTAAATAAATAATACCAGAGTATAGAGCATCTCAAACAAACGCTCTTCCGTGAATAGACCAAAATACCGCAGAGCCACTTGTGGGCTGCGTGGTATGCCTTAGTTGACCGATTAAAGGCCATAATTCAGGCCAAGGCTATATCTATCTCTATAAAGGAGTCCCTAACCCAATGTGGCCAAGATACCTTCGGCTTCCCTTATGAATCCTAAAAGGGCCTTGGTAGACGAATTCCTTATAACAAAGGGTTCGACCAACGAAGATTTAAAGTAAATCAGTCTTTGTCTGGCTAAAGCCGGACAGTTATAGAGAATATGCTCCGAAATTTCATCGGCCTCGAGGCAGAGCCGGAATGCCGCCCCTATTCGGTGTAAGTGGAACCGCAATTGGTTGTGACTAGTCAGAAACCCAGAAAGGACGATGTCGTTCCTATTAAAGGGGTAGCCGAATAGCCTGGCTTGTCTAAGGGCCCCCACCGCTCCCCAGTACTTACTGCGTTCTGAATGTACCCACTCAGTGATTATGGCTCTCGAAGAGGACCAACTGAGACCACAGAATGGTTCAGGTCCCGAAAAGGCAGTAAGCGATCCTTCACGTGCCAACTCATCAGCGATCTTGTTGCCTTCGATTCCAGAATGGCCTGGTACCCAGCATAATGTTACCGTGTTTTTGGCCGCCAAAAATTGTAACGTGCTAAAGCAGTCTCTAACCAACTTAGATTTGATAGTCCTGTTTAAAAGGGCCCGGATGGCTGCTTGGCTATCTCAAAAGATAACTAAAAAAGCGCCCTTTAAACCCTTTTCAAGGTTTAATTTTGCGCAGTTTAAGATTGCGACTGTTTCAGCCGGAAACACCGTGGGCCATTTGCCCATGGAAATTGTAAGTTTGGTGCTAGGTCCAAAGATGCCTGCACCCGCTCTGTCCGCCATCCTTGATCCATCTGTATACCAGTGTACATATCTGAGATCAAGGGCAGAGAGCCCATTTGCCCAATCTTCGCGATCGGGGATTATCACTTGGAATTTTCAGCCAAAGCAGACCTCCTTAGTCATGGAATCAGAGATTCCGCATATATCCAACCCTGGTATCTTCCCAAGAATACCTGCATGAGGCTTCTTTACGAAAAAGTCGTCGTTAGATAGTCGAAGTTGCAGCTCCCTCGTGGCTGCTGATTCCTCAATAAAAATATGGAGAGGAGTCCATCCCAGGAGCGACTCTAGAGCCGCAGTTGGACATGTTCTTATAGATCCTGTAACGGATAGACATGCCAATCTTTGCAGCTTGTTAAGGCGAAGTATGGCAGTTTTTTGCATTGTCTTCTGCCACCACGCTATGGATGCATAGGACCCTCTACATAAGCATTAGTCAATTCAAAAATTTAAAATCAATAACGATTGAGATATAAGTATGTAGATATTAGCAATGAAATATCAATTGCATTAACTAATAATCTTTTAAAATCGTTAATATGGGATAGTAATAAGACTGGTCAACAGTGGTTTTAGTGCCAAGGAGCTGTGTTTTTTTTTAACTTAGGAACCTAAACTGTGCTTAGACCAACAAATTTTATCGGTCTATAAGAAAAACATACGTGAGTGCGAAGAGCTTGAAATGCTGGCCGACAGGAAAATGCCCGACATTTTTACCAGAGAGTTAGGCGATTTACGAAAGGTTTCAAGACCAGGGCGTACTCCTGTAAGTACAACAATGGCGACCTAGTTACCGATGTTCAGAACGTACTTAAATTATGATGTTGGATAAGATAATAAGAGCTGCAGAACTGAACCACTCGGGAACTATTTACTACAAAAGCTGGCTTTATGCCGATGACATCGACATCATCGGTAACAAAAACTGCGAACTCTATTATGCCTTTTCCAAGTTGGATAAGGAAGCAACAAAGCGAATGGGTCTGGTGGTAAAAGAGGACAAGACGAAGTATGCCAAGATTTTTTATTTTAATCTAGAAGCCAATATTTCTTGAATTAGATAATTAGAGATCCCTTGTAAAATCATTTAATTCCTATGAATTCGCATTCGCTATTCCCTCAAAATCACTGTTACTGCTCACCTCATTGAAAATTTCTTCGAATAAAGGGTCACGAACAAAATGTTGGGATAGGTACTTGCGCTGAATGTAAAGGTCTGCTTGCTGATTCTTTATATGTGTACCAAAATGCTCAGAATGAAGAGAGAAGTCGATGTGCACGATAGCTCAGGCAAAAATTTATATATCTCAACGAAATTTGATATATGGGTATTCCCAATCTGGCATTACGTGACACTTGTTAAACAAATTGAAAAAGTCAAAGTTTTAAAAAGTTTTTTTTTGTAGATTTGCATAGCAATTAAATGGCCCCTTATTCGGTAAAAAAAATTACCACTGTTGATAGTAGCGATTAAGAGATATTGGTAAACAGTACCAGGTTGACCCAACTTTGTCCGGAGTGCATATACTATTTAAAATTTTTAAGATGTGGATAGCTTTAAAAAAGTGCTTTGAAAAAAAAAATGGATTTCGATATCTATTAAGTAAATTTCTTACTCCAAATTTTATTTGGCAGCCATATTCCAAAATACGCTGGAGTGAGTGGTACATATCTTCAGCGTATATGCACTGGGTATACACAAAAAAATGCTGATTGAAATTAACAAAATAACAATTCGTATTACATAGAAGCGTGGCAATCCAGATGGAAAATATTTTCAGACCAAAGTTCTCAACAAAACTTTTCATTTGGTATCCATATTGCGATGTTTTAGATAAATTATGTAGAATCGAAAATAAGTGGCAACTTTACAATATTATCCTAAGGGATAACATTTTGTATATAGGGAAAGCACTCTCTAGGTACCCAGGAATAGTAAAATTTTACATTTTTTTTTAAACAAAAAATAAAATAAATATACGATTCAAAATAGGTACCAACCCTATTAAAAATATTTTACAAATTANAGATAATTAGAGATCCCTTGTAAAATCATTTAATTCCTATGAATTCGCATTCGCTATTCCCTCAAAATCACTGTTACTGCTCACCTCATTGAAGATTTCTTCGAATAAAGGGTCACGAACAAAATGTTGGGATAGGTACTTGCGATGAATGTAAAGGTCTGCTTGCTGATTCTTTATATGTGTACCAAAATGCTCAGAATAAAGAGAGAAGTCGATGTGCACGATAGCTCAGGCAAAAATTTATATATCTCAACGAAATTTGATATATGGGTATTCCCAATCTGGCATTACGTGACACTTGTTAAACAAATTGAAAAAGTCAAAGTTTTAAAAAGTTTTTTTTTGTAGATTTGCATAGCAATTAAATGGCCCCTTATTCGGTAAAAAAAATTACCACTGTTGATAGTAGCGATTAAGAGATATTGGTAAACAGTACCAGGTTGACCCAACTTTGTCCGGAGTGCATATACTATTTAAAATTTTTAAGATGTGGATAGCTTTAAAAAAGTGCTTTGAAAAAAAAAATGGATTTCGATATCTATTAAGTAAATTTCTTACTCCAAATTTTATTTGGCAGCCATATTCCAAAATACGCTGGAGTGAGTGGTACATATCTTCAGCGTATATGCACTGGGTATACACAAAAAAATGCTGATTGAAATTAACAAAATAACAATTCGTATTACATAGAAGCGTGGCAATCCAGATGGAAAATATTTTCAGACCAAAGTTCTCAACAAAACTTTTCATTTGGTATCCATATTGCGATGTTTTAGATAAATTATGTAGAATCGAAAATAAGTGGCAACTTTACAATATTATCCTAAGGGATAACATTTTGTATATAGGGAAAGCACTCTCTAGGTACCCAGGAATAGTAAAATTTTACATTTTTTTTTAAACAAAAAATAAAATAAATATACGATTCAAAATAGGTACCAACCCTATTAAAAATATTTTACAAATTAGAGATTTCAACGTGTGTGGCGAGGTTTGCAAACCGATCGAAGGTTGACAAAAATGTTCATGTCTTTCAAATTAATTTTAAATAATAAAAATAATAATGAAAGATCTGGCATCTTTCTATTATTATTTTTCTTTTTCGTCTCAATAAAACATTAAAAGAGCATATTTCAAACATCGTTTTTAAGGAAGATTTTGTGAATTTGCGGGGGTTGCGGTTTTATCGGGAGTGTCGGGAAAGGATTTTGATCCCGTTGGATGTTCTCCGGATTAATGTCGCTTAATACCTGGTAGTTTAGAACAGAAACTTTTTGCTGAGCATGATCTTATGCTCGCTGCTTAACTGGGATCATAAGGGCTTCGCTGTGTATATAATGTTTTGGCTGGACTGTCGCCAAAAGCAGAATTTTGACAAATCTGATTCTTCCTCGACTGCGTCCTACTTGTCGTTGGCGGTCGCTCAGGCCTAGCGTAATTTAAATCTGGCCCATCGACCAGTTGAAAAACCGCCTAAAACGCCGTTGTGGCAAAAATTAGACTTAGTGGCCCTGAACTTCAGGCATTGAGATTTATGCATAAAAATCGTTATTGAACCAACAGATTTGTAAAATAATAGCTGGAGAAAATATCGCCTATCGAGGCAATGCCTTCAAAGAAAAACTGTTTTTCTCTCCCTCCTGTAAAATATGAGTGGATCGACGATATACATACTTATGTATACATATATACTAAATACCTGTTCTTTTTTAGGTTCTCATTATGATCTACTATACGTCAGCGTTTCCAGTTGTTCTACGATCCCTTGCCCAATGTCGCGTGGCTCGACGGTAACAGTAAAAGTGATTTTTGATGATAACGGTAAGTATTATTACAAATTTTTTCTCGTCTGGGAAATGTTTGATTTGAATTTTTTGTTTTTTAATGTCGTTCTGGGTAATTTTTAATAAAATCTTCACTAAATGTTCATATATAATTTCAGTTTTATTTACATATGAAAAGAAAAGGATGTGAAATATTTTGTTCGGTTCGTAATAGAAATAAAACATGAATAATAACCATAAATAAATTACTCACGGCGAAGGTAACCGCAATAGGGTGCGTTTAGAATTGCATCAAGCCAAAGCATCAGTCTCTTTTATTTCTAAACTATAATTGATAGAAATGTCAAATATGCGTAACCACGGTTATAAGCCGAATTGGAACTAAGTTGCGTAAATGAGACATTTCCATTAATTATAGTTTAGAAATAAAAGATACTGATGCTTTGGCTAGATGCATTTCTGAACGCACCCATGATGAAATCCATCACAGCAATCAAAAAGCGAATTTTTAATTTTTTTTTTAGTTACGATTTTTTGTATTTCAGTGACGATGATGATATGTTATTTTGCATTTCAGGTGACGATATAATAATGTAGATCATGTTTTTGATTTTCGGCAGTTTTTGAAGGAGTTAACAATAAAAATTATTAATACTCAACACTATATGTACATACATATGCACATATGAATATTTTGAACACTCACTATAAAATGTATACGTGCAAAATTCCGCTTAATATACATACATATGTACAAGAAAAACTGCAGTAATACTGTAGCAGTACTGCTAATTTGAAGAAAAAAACGCGAATAAATAATTGCCTTAATGAAATTTATTAACTAATTCATTTAAAAAAAAATGTTTTCTTAATTGCGAGATTAAGTTCAAAATCATGCTCCAGTTAAGACTTTGTGGGCGGCAGGAGTTTGCGGCAGTAGTGCAGATTTATTGCAATATAAAACACTTTATGTGCATATTTTTTTCCTACAGATGCGAAACTACCTCCACGAAAGCTATAAAATAAACCAATATTTATTATTTTGCAGAAGAGGATGTAGCATTTCTAAAACATAAGGTACGTTGGATCTTCAACGCAGTCAAAACAGATGCTGCTATCACTCCAGAGTCTTGCGACGACAACGATAATTGTTTAATTGACGAAAGCGATGGAAAGTCTTATATTGCTGAAGTTTTCGTGAACAAGACTCTCCCCAATGTATGAAAATTTTGTTATTTAATCGTTATGAAAGTGATCAATTCGGTTATTTATTAAATCTTTAAGCTTCGTGCGTCATTTCATTGATCATATACTACAATTTCATAATATTTTATGTACATATCGAACGCTGAGTGGAAGATCGACTTATCTCGGCAAATTTTCATTAAAACTTCGAACTTTTTATTGTATTTACAAACTTCTGCGATTCTGTCGGTGCAAATCTGTTCCTACGAAAATTTCTAAAACGCCGTTCATAGCTGTAAATTGTGCGATTTTTCTCATCAACTGCCGATTTGTGAGAACTAGAAAGGTTTAAAGACGGGTTTTGTAAATTTAAAACAAAAATTAACGTAACACGTAACATGTACAAGTAATTTTTAGCAAAAAAAACGGATTCAAAAAAAATATACCTCCTCCTCTTTTGGAAGTCGGTTAAAAATGAGCTTGAACCAGCTAAATGAACAATTTTTGTTGGAAAATTTAACCAGTTAAATCATTTAACTCGTTTGAAAACCAGTTCAGCGCAGAGTTGTATCAGAAAGCTCTCTGCTTCAGCCAATCAGAAAGAGCCAGTAGAACACGTCAACGCTCAAAAAATTTATATTCTCAAAAAATTTAAAACTAAAAATTGTCAAAAAATATGAAAATTGTATGCATGTCTGTCCGCCAAAAAGGAGGTCAATGCGATCCTTAGTTATTTCCTATGCCCTATCGTCCGCAGAAATAAATAGTGCATACGAATTAAATATTTTGAAGTCTTTCAGAAAACCGTTTGCGTTAATATTTTGCACAAAACAAATTGAAAAACAAAAAATTTATTGCGAATATATTTTTTTTAATTATTATTTATAATTTGTAGTACCGGTTACCTATATCGAGGAGAGCGACGTCTTTTATGGTTATTTCAAAAATTAGACCTCTTTTGTACCGGTTACCTATTTCGAAAACTTCGAGTTCCTAGTACCGGTTACTAATTTCGTAAAAGGCAGAGTGTTCTCACCCTTTTTTTATTCATAAAGCAAGGGTGGCCATTTCATAGGCACGCCTGCCAAATTTTTCTCTTCTGCTTTCACACGTACACGAGAAAAACTGCGCTGCTTTCACACATTTTTTGAATTCACAAGGACGAATAGGTAATTTTTAAGCTGACAACGAAAGCTGAGAACGAAATTCGAGGATGTTATCGAGTTAACATATAATTTTTTCAAAAACAAATATTGCGAAATTTCAAGGATAAAATTTTAAAATAACATTTTCAATATTTACCAGCCCTTCTGCACCAGAAACTTGAATCTGTTTAAATTCTACAGGCTTTCCTCATTAATTTTATACCCATACGTCTTCTCTAAGCACATTTCTCTAAATTTTTTAAATCATTTTTGAATTACTGACGTCAGAGTGAAAAACTAAAAACGCAATTTTACTATATTTGGTCCATGGTTTCGAGAATATATTGATATTTGTGTATACAATTTACTATCGCGCGGTGTTATATATATAATGAGCTACACATTTATAAAAAAATATTAATTATTAAATAAAAAAAGAAGTATAGCCAATACTGGCCAAGAAAAGAAGTTTATATTTTTGCCATCAGTGCAAATTACAAATGCCGAAAATAGCGGGGTTTCTTGCCATGACTCTCGGGATTTTCGAGACAAAAGTCCGGGATCCTAGTGATATCTAGTATTTATAATTCCGAATTGATCTTACTATAATAAAAAAATTGGCATTACCACTCCGCTTTTATCAAAAGTTGTAACCGGTTCTAAAATCCCGGGTTTTTCGATATAGTTAACCGGCCCAAAAAACCGATTTCAGTTTTGAAATATCGTGAAGAGATCCTTGTAGGAGTAAAGTTTCACCAAATCACAACCGCTTGAAGTTATATACATTTGTAGCAGCCATGCGGTAATTGCTAATAGTTATTAATTAATTAAAAATATTTCGTGGCCAATTTAAATGGGATTTTTATTAAAATATCTTTCTGAACAGCAGGGTACCGCGGAATTTCTTCCACCTTAAGCTCTACTTGTATGCTGACTGTACTAATGCCACATTGAATTGTGGCGTGTGTTAAGTATGCAGAAATGGCTGCTGGTATTTTGGATTGTGACAATTTTGTCTCATAAAAAGAGAATTTTTCTACCTTGCAATTTTACCTTTTTCACTCAGCATTTACGACTATGAAAAAATGGGGTCAATGAGTAGCACCGAAATTCAAAATGATATTGTTTACAACTTGTGTATGTATATTTATTTATTTTTAATAATTTTCATTTAAAATATACCTCAATCTATAGCAGCATTATCCTTTGGCGGCCGCTGTAGTGCAGTGGTTTGCAGTAGGCGCTGCCATTCCGCAGGGCAGGACAAGCTCGGCCCCAAACACTGACATATTTGTAAACGCCAATCTTATTATTATATTATATTTTGTATCATATTTATTATAGTTTACTTTCATTCCAGATTTTTTAAAACATGACTTTTTGGTGCGATATACACATATCGTCACCTTAATTCACAAAGGCCCTAACCAGCATTTTTTAACCGACTTCCAAAAAAGGAGGAGGTTATCAGTTCGTCGGAATCTTTTTTTATTTTTTTTTTTTTTTTTGTATGTTACCGCATAACTTTGGACCACGTTCTTTTTGCATCGGAAAGGCAGTGTCTCAGAGGTGGTCCCATACTAATCTGGTTAAGATCCGATCAGTGGATCATGAGATATATATATATATATATTTTTTTTTATATATGAGTTGAAGTCGGTTTTTTTTTTGCTAAAAATTTCTTCTTTATTTTACGGGAGAAGCAAAAAAGACTACATAAACCAAATCACTAATAGGAATATTTTAATATATCCTGCCAAAATCTGTGAAAACGCACTTTCGAAGAAAGTGTTGGTTAGGGCCTTTGCGAATTATGGTAACGGTATGATTTAAGTGCAATTAATGTCACATCGTGGATCACTTTTATAATTGAATTTTTTAATAATAATATTTGCTGAAACAAAATATTTATTGTTTTCCAGATACGTGGCACCATGACTTGGATGGCTGTAAACCAAAATAATCTTGAAGTAATTTGCTTTAAAATACCAGTTGTTATTATGTAAATACTAAATAAATAAATTCAAAATTTGTGTAATCTGAAATATATGTACATATGTATCGATTTACTTATATGTATTTAAGCCATTGATGTGCATATATTTCATTATGTATTTACGTGCATGTATTTTCTTTATGTACATAAATAATGGTGATAAATATTCTCTTAAATTTAAAACCGTCGGAACTATGAGTTGTTAAAAAAGTTTAAGAGTCGTTTTCGTTTCAGAAAATCCGTACCACTTACCGTTCGAACTTTAAAACTGAGGGAATTGTTAACAAAAAAGTTAAAACTTAAGCAAAATTTCAAGTAACGTTATCGCAAAAACTGGACACAATCTGGCTAAATGGGGACCCAATTGAACTAAGAAGGTCCAATTAAGTTAGATCAGCTATCAAAACCTTTGCTCAGAAAAACAGTTCAAATTTCACCGTCGGAGCTCTAAAACTTCCCTCCTAAATATCTGAAAATTTTGACGTGGTATGGATTTTCTGAGAACGGCATCGTCTCGATTACGAAAATTAAATTTACGTGTTTGGTCGCTGTGCTGTGATATTCCAAAAGTTTAAAATTTACCTGCAGTGTAAATAGTTCATTCGAAACTTCATTTCCTAGTAATACTCATAGTAGTAAAAACATAACCGTAGATATTAAAATCATGATGAAATTATTGTTGTAACGTAAATAATTCAACGGTAAGTCCTAGCTACTGCAAACTTGCATTGGCTTTTAATTAAATTAAAAAAAAAATCTAAAAAATCTGAGCAAACAGTTTCCAATTTTGATGAACTCCTTCGCACTCCTAGACCTAAAGTGAGACAACTCAAAGTTCTAATTTTTTTGACTAATGTATACCATCGAGCTCCATAACGCACTTCCTATCGACCAATATAATCGGGTCAATAATAGCTCCAGTACTCAAGGCTAGATGCCGCTATAAACCATGTAGGTTTAAACTCTTGCTAACCAAGCACTGTAAATATGAAAATCGATAGTTAAACCCTTGCCAGTGGTATTGACCGCTACCCCTTCCCACCAAACAATTTTTGTTGCCGGCCCTATTTGAATTGAGTGGGGTTTTCCCTATTTGTTGCCGGGCCTATTTGGTGACAGAGAATTAGTTAATTGGAATAAGTTAATCGTTGTTGTTTTAGCGGCTACTAAGCCCCGCTGGGGTCGGTTTATCCGTCAACGTTGGCGTCCGTTTCAGCTAAGAGAAGGCCCAGGAAGTGTGCGACTTCAACAGGGTCTGTGTATATAGAACGGGGGCGTCAGCTGGGTTAGGATCTCAGGGCATGTGAAGAGGTGCAGAGCCATGTGTCAACTCTCCACATGCCGGGCATTGGTTGGGCACTTCCTCATTAATTCTGCTTAGGTATGAGTTTAGCCTGCTGCAATAGCCAGAGCGAAGTTGGGCTATTGTGGTGCGGGTCTCCCGAGGCAGACAAAGTTCTGTCCCGTCCACGTGCGGTGGTTGTGTGCATAGAACGGCATTCACAGGGCGGGAGTCCACATAACTCGAGACTGATCCCCTGTGAATGCCTTTCAGGGCCTATCGGTAGGCTGACGGGTCCAGAGGTTGTTTAATAAACCTCTCAGCAAGCAGCTGTTTGCTAAGATGACCACGTGTCGCGCTCCCCACAAGAAACTGCTTGCATAGCATTGTGTTGTGCTCCCTGACTCGTCGTGTAGGTGGTGTTGGGGCGTCGTCAAGAGGCATCCGGTCGCTGTTCGTAGTGCGGCATTCTAGCAGGTATGTAGCTTCATCCATTGCGTCCTGCTAGTCCCAGGCGACCACACGGTCTAGTGTTGTGGGTTTTGGTTGTCAGTGGGTATCTCAGAAAATCAAATTGACAATTACTTTGTTTTAAGCCTGACACATATTTGTAACGCTGGTCTATAGAGGTATTTTTCGGTATAGAAAAGGGTCACATTTACGGTCTAAACTTCAGGGTTTATCTAACTCAGTTTTTTTAAAAAATAAAAGCTTACATAAAATTAAGTCCAGGTGAAAACACAGTAGCGCTAAGGCTTATTTTGGGCGTGAAATTCTTTGAAACATGGCTCAATACTTGGCCTTTATGCTCAAATTTATTATGTTGAAACAAGCCTAAATATATGTACTTACCGCCCTCTGAGTATTTATTTCACTGAAGCTAATATTTTCTCTCTTAAAGTCGGTAAAGACTTTCACACGTGCACTGTAAAAAAATATAACCTCAAACTTTACAGGTAGCCGTAATCCCGAGACCACTTGTCACAAACGTGTGCCAGACCTTCCTATAAACCTACTGTATCCAACAACCCGCTATCGCAGACGGCGGTGAATGGAGGTATAATTTAATTTTGTGTCGTATAAAGTTTGAGTTACGAATTCCATCATATGCTTCGCGCTGTAAACTGATCGATTTACGCACTCTTAATAGCAGAAGAAAAGTTTCATGAATGATGTTTTTACACGACGTCCTGAATGGGGTCATTGACTGTCCATCAACATTACCCCTAATAAAACTCAATACTCCATGTAAGTTCCTTCGTCACCAGACCCAGACCTATTATATGTAGAACTATGCAAAACAAATTATGCTTACATAGAATGAGCCAATGACAAGGTCGTTAAATGAATTTAATTTACTAAGTAGAGTTAAGAATGTAGATATGTTTGCTAATCGTCCTGAATTTAAAAGTGTTTTACTCATGCATTACTTATAACACTGAATTGCTATCTAGTCTATAAGGTATTGTGAAAACATGGACTTAATCAAATAAATAAATAAAAGACCAGTAGAAGGACTTTGGTTCACTTGGGACTTGTAAATAATTTGCTTCCTCGATTATAAGCACCAAACAAGAAGAAAAAAATTTAAGAACGCACAAACGTGGGATTATGCACATTTTTATTTCATAACATAGCAATAAATAAAAAAATATGGCAAATCAAAAACAATATAATTTGTGACACGCATATATAATTACAAATATTATTATTTAAGCAACGCGATAAAGGAATATGTATATACATATGTGCATATATGTATAAGTTTTGAATATAGATATATACTACATACTCATTTATATTTATCTTTAATTTTTTTATTTTGTTTTTGTTTAATAAGGCACTGGGTCAGAAAGGTTTGAGGTTTGTACTAAATGTACTATATATAGCTGGTATATATTAACAGTTGATTAAAATATATTTTCTGAACTTTAGAATACAACACATAAAGATGTACACGACGTATGTATGTATATGTTACCGGCCAAACCCGATCTTAGGACAAACTAGTTTTGCCTAAACTAATTTGATCAGGTGCCACAGTATTTTTGAGCAGAACTCCTTTCCGCATAAGCGGTCTTCGGCCGCGCTTCAAAAAAATAACCCTCATCAGTCCAACTCCAAATACGCAGTCCACAATATTTTTGCATCCAACTTGATTCCGCATTGAATGGATGTATCGGATCTAGTTAGAACTAGTTTAGACTAGGAAAAACTAGTTTGCCCTATGATCGGGTTTGACCGGTAACATATATAAATACTTTAACGCGTTAAGGCCAGTATGCAGCTCTCAAGAAAAGCAAAAACTCCATATAAAATGACGGGCAAGAAATGCCTAAAGGTGCTGGCGCAATGTAGGCTTGCTTTGCTCGCATTAAACTCGCTAAACAGTTCAATGCGAGAGTGAACGTGAAAATTTTGAGACTTTGGCTATTCGAAACTTTGAAACATACATTGGCCGGTTTATAGTTGTAAACCACGGCCAGGTTATTCCTCTATTGTCAAAATATATCAGTATGTTATCTTCAAACTGCTGTGCCCAACGTTGCTCCAATGATACACGTATTGTAATACCGCCGAGGGCCAGAACCACGTGGAAAAGTTTCTGTCATGCTTACGTCTTATTGATCCTATTAAATCTTGATTATATCATTTTAGAATGTGTAATGTGTTTTCTTGGTTGGCACCTTAGCGTGCCCACAAGTAACCAGGCCTCGAATCGTAACATCCGTTCACGGATCGAAAACGATACGAAAGAAAATTACGAGATACGACAGGCAGTATAAGCTAGGCTCGAATCGTAACATCCGTTCACGGATCGAAAACCATAGATAGTCGTATAAGCTGAATTGGATAAAGAGTACGCTCACGTATGTCATAATCCGAAAATGGTGTTTTTACGTGACGAGTAATACGATATCGTATGTGACGATTCGAGCCCAGAATTTGCAAAGAGTATGTTCACGTATGTATGTCATAATCCGAAAATTGTGCTTTTACGTGACGAGTAGTACGATATCGTATGTGACGATTCGAGCCATGGTTATTCCTCTAATTTAATTATTATTAGTTATACGTCAGGTTAAATTTATTAAGTTTGTATTTGTACGGCAGGAAACTAAGTCCTCGTATCGCCAGGTGATTAGTCCAATTTAATAACTTTATAATTATTCGTCGTATTATATTTGATAAATATGCATTAAATTGTAATTTCCAACAATTTTAAAAATTTATTTCTTTAAAATATTTCTTGTTTCGTTTCTTGGAACGGCCATGCTTATACATTTTTTTATTGTGTGTATTTTAATCTAATATTTGCTTTATAAAAAGTCGACAGGTCAGCACGACCATGCTCGTCGTGGTCAAATTTCCTTGAGGCAGTACGCAACTCTTAAGAAAATTGCTACCTAGTAGACTACGGGTTTTTTTAAGTTTTTTTTTGTCAAATAAGGGCACAATTTATTTGGGCTTTTTTTACCAAGCTTGGTAAATTGGTTATAGAAATAAAAATAAGCAAGTAAGTAAAAGCAATCTAAGGCTCAGTTTTGTCATCAAAAGTAAGAATTTTATAGTCTAAACAGTTGCTTAATTTGAAAACTATTAACTACACATTTTTTAAGGCTTTCAATATATGTACATATACTCCTATAATAGTTAGCTGGCCTTTCGCGATTTTTTTGAATGCATGCATAAAAAAGATTTTGGTATCATGTTATCCATAATGTGCATGTTGATCTTTTTAAGCAAATGAAGCGACCTCATTTCGATTGCGATTTCATGGCAGAAGCACACTTCCTGGAACTTTATACGGGAGCCTAAAATAAAATTGATTCATATTAAATTGATTCATAGATTGACTCATAGTCAGAAATGAATTTTGGAGGAAAATTATCTTTTTTGGATATTTAAATAACAAAGAAAAATTTAACATTTTATCAGGCAGGAAAGAATTAATAAATATTGCTTAAATTTAAGCAAAACGACAACGCTGAAGGCAACTCATGTTTGTAACAGATATATATGCCCATTGCATTATTTCTTGAGGAAAGAGTGACGCAACGGGGCTGTGATGAATCAGATGTAAAAATTCCTTGGATACACACATGAAAAATGGCAATTTTTTTCTTGGCCGTTTTCTTGAGAGCTGCATATTGGCCTTTAAAAAGAAAATCAAATTTGTTTTCTAATAGATTATTTTACAAAAACCTCCCATATTTGCCTCATTTCAAGCTTTTGTTTACGTTTTAATACCATTTGAGCATACCTATTGTTTTAAGGATGATAAAACTATAAATATAAATGTTTTATCATGGTTTTAAGTCACACTACTCAAACTTGTATTTATTTAATTTGTTGAAGAATTTGAGTAAATGACGGTGGTGTCTTGAAGTTAATAACTTCGTTAAATACTAATTCCTTCCACTTTTCTACCGGCAAATCCATATCTTCAAAGCTTTGATCATACAATGGTGATGTTTGCTCATCGCTGGGTTCGGAATATTTTTCCATGTAAGGATGGGCTAACGCTTGTTCGGCGGTAATACGTTTTTCTGAATCTAATTCCAACATTTTCTCCAGTAAATCAATAGCTAGTGGATTGGCTCCTTTAAATACCTCCTTGAAGCTGCGTCGTTTCATTGGCGGTAACGATTTTATATAATTACGAGCACTCTCTGAAGATATTTTTTTCATGAAATCATCAGGAGGAGTACCTAATATTTCCATTATAAGATTTAATTGATGTATATGGTCTGTGCCGGGGAATAGAGTTCGGCCAGTAAGTAATTCTGCCATAATGCAACCCACAGACCAGATATCTACGGTTTGGTTGTAGTGCATCCAATTTAACATAATTTCTGGTGCACGATACCATCTTGTAGCTACATAACCAGTCATCTCGCTTTCTGTTGGACGTGCTAGTCCAAAATCTAAAATACGTAACTCGCAATCTTCATTTACAGCAATATTTGACGGCTTAAGATCGCGATGAATAATGCCAGCACTATGAATATACTTAAGACCTCGCAATATTTGATACACTAAGAACTGAACATGATCATCAGATAGACGTTGTGTTCTGATAATATTATTCAAGTCAGCATCCATTAGATGTGTTACTAAGTACACTTGCTGAAAGTTTTCAAGTGTGACATCCACTGGATGTGGATGGAAAA